GTCACGTGGTCCGAATTGATTATCTTGGCTTTTAGCTCTGTGTTATATATAATAGTAATAATATTGAAGTGGGTCGGCTAGATATTTTCCCTTCAATTAGTTTGCTTAACCAGAATTTTTTTGTTCAACTAACCACTATCAGGACTAGATTTAGTTGATAACCATTTCTTAAAGAGAATATAAAGCATATTAGCTGGGAAAATGTAGAAAAAAAATATATAATTTTACTTGTCAAAGTGGTTTTAAAGGATCAATGTATATTATATATGGTTTTGAATCTTTCATGCCTCTCTTTTTTAAGCTAATCTGAGTTTTTTTTTTAATAGAAAGTGAATAATTTATGGTAATTCTTCCATCATTTTCTTGTCAAGTTTCTTATCTTTCGATATGTGTTCTTTCTTGCAGGGGAGTTATTGTTCTGCTACATGGATTGAACGAGCACAGGTTTTGAACCTATTTCTCTATGTTATGCACCATTTGATTTGAATATGATTTTCTCGGCATTAGGAAGCTTAACATTTAGTTTCTTTTCCAAATATTTCGACAGTGGCAGGTATAGTGATTTTGCAAAGAAGCTAAATGCTAATGGGTTCAAGGTCTATGGAATTGATTGGATTGGTAATCTCAATTCTCTTTTCACCTTCTTTATTTGACAGTCTATATAACGTAGGAGCTTCTGTTTTAGTGTACGGTTAGTCTGCTAGGTCGAACAGAAACTATCTTCCTCGAACATCACATTAAAAATTACCTTAGTATAAAACCTAAGCGTGGTTTTCAACTATAGATCTTGATGATATTAAAGGTGTTGTGGTTAGAGTTACTGACATAGTCTTGGTCTTGAAAATTTGCTGCGATATTTGAAACCACGTTCTTGATGGATATAAGCGGACCTTAGTACCTTTAAAAATGCGGAAAACGTGAAAGTGTTTTACGATGCAGCTGTTTCATAGGTTAGAAATACAGTTGTTCAACCATGCCTCTCTGTGTTTGAATGTCGCAGGGAATATAGTGATTTTGTATTGGGGGTGATGCATAATTCGTGTGGAAAGGTGACACATGAACCTCATCTTTAGCTTTACAGTGCCATTAAATTAGGGACTGTGATTCAAAATCTCTGCACTTGTAGCCTCTTCAGGCATCTGCCTCAGTGATAACTTCCCAATCTCTGTTTTTTACTTTTGAGTAGCAATTTTTATGGTTTGATCATATAGGTCATGGTGGAAGTGATGGACTTCATGCCTACGTTCCTTCCCTTGATTACGCTGTAGCAGATTTGGTACGTCTCTCTCTTTCACTATATGGCTTTAGTTACCAAAGCATTCTCTTAACTGAAACAAACTCACACCATAATCATCTTTGCAGAAATCATTTCTTGATAAAGTATTCGCCGAGAATCCAGGACTCCCCTGTTTCTGCATTGGACATTCAACAGGAGGGGCCATAATCCTCAAGGTAACATCTTTAGACTGTTTAAAGTAACATCATATTATCATCCAAAGTACTACAAAATCTCAAAACAATGTTAATCAACCAAGTGCAGGCAATGCTAGATCCAAAGATTGAATCTCGAGTTTCGGGCATCGTATTGACTTCACCAGCTGTTGGAGTCCAACCATCCCATCCAATATTCACCGTAAGTTAAATCCGAAAAATAGTCATATAAAATGGTCTGGTCCCTGGCCTCTGAGGGGATGTACGGCTCTAGGCCCATAACCTCTTAGTTTTACACATTTTCAAACAATTCGTAACAGTCTGATCAGCTCTCTGTTTTGTTATTGTTCGAAACAGGTTATTGCTCCAATCGTTGCGTTCCTCTTGCCAAGGTACCAATTCAGTGCAGCGAACAAGAAAGGAATGCCGGTTTCTCGTGATCCACAAGCTCTTATCGCCAAATACTCAGACCCGTTAGTCTTCACAGGATCCATCCGGGTTAGAACGGGCTACGAGATCCTTAGAATCGCTGCTCACTTGCAGCAAAACCTGAACAAAGTGAAAGTTCCTTTTCTTGTCATGCACGGTACAGCAGACACAGTGACTGATCCCGACGCCTCAAAGAGGCTTTACGACGAAGCTCCTTCGTCAGACAAATCAATCAAGCTCTTCGACGGATTGTTGCACGATCTTCTCTTCGAACCTGAGCGAGAAATCATCGCTGGAGAAATACTAGATTGGCTAAACCAACGGGTTTAGCTCTTTGAAAACAACAATCACTATCACAATCGGACCAAGACTTTCTTGATTCAGACAAGAATAATATAATTTTCGCGGAAATTACTGGGTTAATTTGACTGAGAAACGTGAGGAAGAAAGGAGTTCTTGGTCGATTTAGCAACATCTTGGTTGATTTTTCTCGACTTGGAAGAGGATAGAGAAAAAGAGACTCCAAAACCGGACTCTCTTGTTATGCTTCTTTGCTATATATTATTGGTCTCCCAAAAACATTTTGAATATATTGTCATGAATCAATGATTTTATAACCTCGGATTTTAA